GGCCATCCGGATTCTATTAAATCCGGATTGAATCCGTGTCAGATTAGATATAAAGCTAGCTTTGAGAACATCCTTATATTCATTATTTAAGTTCTTTGACAAATCCGAATAAAAATCTCTGATCTGGATATTTAAATTTATCTATTATCACAGGATGGTCGGATTACGGATCGATTCACTACCTACAATGCGGATTTCACTATTTCGCAACTAAGGTTCACCCTATTCTAATATTTTTTTTTCACACATCATTATCGCTATCTGTTATGCCCAACGATTTAAACATAAAAATTATACCTACAAATCCCTTTGATCTTATACTTATCCTATACAGTATAAATGGGTTTAAAACATAGACGGAGATAAAAAATAGAAATTGAAAATTTTTATAGTGCAATTTATCATGCCTTACAAAGCACTTGAATTTCAGAAGCAAGTAAAGCTGAAGGATCCAAAGAAAATGCGTAATCTTGGTTTATTTAGCGAATATGAGAAAATTACAGTTGGTATTGTTAGACAATTTGAAAGCATAGTTACTGATTGTAGATTCACTAACCTATGATCTGTAAAGCTTAATATTTAACTTTGCATGTATTCTACGGTCTTACTGAGACCGTGTTAAATACTGTATGCAAATTTGACATTATAATTCGATTTTTAATTTAATTCTTGTAAACTTTGAATATAGTATTACTGATTGGGAGAGTTACTATTATATATCGTTCAATAATTAATTTGATTATTAAGAAGTAATCTCAATAATTGATTAAGGACTTGTGTACATAAAATAGTGCAATTTCTGCACAAATCAGTTGTTAGTGAATTTCATTCATTAATACAAACCACTGTACAATCACATGATCCTTTAACTTCCGTTTTTGAAAATCATTAGTGTTAGTATTAATGTTAAAGGCTTTTAATTAGCACCGGTACGGTTTTAGCACTACAATAATATTATAAAATTCAGGAAAGTCTGGAATACAGACTAAAGATATATAATATCCAATGCAAGATATTCACATATTTATTATAAATTATGTAACATTTAACGTTAATTATTCATAAACTTGAGTAACAATAATATATAAATGTTGTACATCAAATTAAAATATGTGTCAGATCAAAATTTGATCTAATGCAAATTTTAGTTTGACGCACAACAATGATAAGCTATTTTAGATACTTACCAGAGATTAAGCCCCTGGTCTTGCATTAAGTAAAATTTTTGTATTTCGGAGTAAATTTTATATTTTTTTATACTTTCATACAGGGTTTTGAAATAGATAAGACATTTTACTGAACTAATATTTTTCTTAGTTCATAGACAGGCAGACATTTGTCTGATTGGCTGATGTAAATCAATTGCCGGGTAACTTATTTATACAGTTTAAAGTACTTTTTGAGAACGTAACGTTTGATAACCATTTCTAACTTCGAAAGAATGTCTATATTCATTATGCAAAATAATCAAAATAATCAGTAACTTAAAGAACTTCACTTAAAAGTGAATATTTTTACTATTTATAGTAGTACTGCTTAACTTGAAGTTACCTAATGGTTTAACTATAACAGATAAAATTTAGAATACGTAAAATAAAGAGCGTTAGTAAAGTTTTTCTTTGTTATAATAGCATGTTAAACTGTATAAACAAAGTTCTTTGATTTAGATCTTACACATAACGTCTTAATCTTTTTTTTTCTGTTGGCCATTTCTAGCATTTAGAGCTTATATATAGTTAATATGACCAGTAGGTCGATAATGTGTATGTGAGCATTATTGTTTCATGGGATCTTTTGAAAAAATTAATCTTATTTTATTATTAAAGATACAAATTAATAAAGAATAAAGATAGTTTCGCTAATAATTTATTCACGTATTAACTCTTTAATGGAATCGGGTTTTTAATAATAAACATTTATTCCATTTTACGCGTATTTATCTGTTTTCTAACTTTATATGATAAATTCTTTTTATGTAATTATTGGTTTGTAAACTTCTTAAGCGAAATTTTCTTTCGTTTTCTAACTGAAAATAAACGTTTTAAAAATTATGTAATTTTATTAGTTAATTATCATGGGCAATCACGGGTAGATCGACAAAAATAATCAATTATATGAATGCCTTCCTATGAGCTTGAAATTTCTATTCCAACTTCTGCATTTGTTCAAGAATTCAAGAGTGAATCATGTCTTTTCTGTTCACTCAAATTCGTTAGTTGCCTTTTTATAAAAAAATAACTCTCTTGTATTACTGAAAGAGCCAATAATTTTCAAATAGTATTTTGTAATA